GCCCTTATGCCACACATGAGCTGCATGCTCTGAAGTAGAAAAAAATGTAGGAAAGGTGTTCTCTGGGGCTGTCTTCTTGACTCTCCGGCTCTCCTTTTCTGCAATAGGAGAAAGCTCTTCCCCAACTTCTTTCACCTTCCATTCTGCTCAAAAATAGAGAGGTAAAAGCAGTGCATTCTCGCAGGGCAGGGAGAACTGCGTTCAGGGGAGATGGGGAGGATTTATGGATCCTGACAGGAAGGATGGAAAGTCCTGTCTCCTCAGGGGATTGGAGGAGAAGGACGGCAGCTCCTCTGTGGGAAAAGGAAGCTGGGGAAGAAGAAAAAGAGATTCCCCTCCACGGACCCCTGCTTTCCCCCCCCACAGTCCCTGGAGCATTACTGAACCCTTTCACCTTCCTCCTACCGATTTCTTCTTGGGGACACCTGGCTCTCCTTCCCAAGTGCCTCCCAAACTCCTGTTCTGCCTTTACTGCTGATCTGTGCCAGATCTGTTTCACCTCACTAACGGACTGCAGAGGCTGAGAGTGAAGCTAATACTCAGGGATACTTTTGGTCAGAAACCAGGAGACAGAGCATCGTCAGTCAAAGCAGAGACCTCAACTGTGAAAGGGAGTTGAGACAAAGTCCCAATATCATCACCTTGTGTGCCAATATAACCGCATCAGCCGGAACTATGGGTTCACCGGATCTGGACTTGGCTAGTTGTTGTATAGGAACCTTCTAATTAAAATCCAGGAGATGGCTAGTGTAGTAAACAATTTAATGAGTAGGTGGCAGTCTTTACTCTGAATCACTCTTGAACCATGACCCAGAAAGCGCGGAAGTGTAAAATAAGTGGGACGTGTTCATCAGCAGTGCGCTTCGTGGCATTGCATCGTTGTTGGGAAACATATTTCACTTGGACACAGGCTTCTCCTTAAGCTCTGTAAAGCTGGCACCTTTGTAAGTGAATGCAGCTCACGCGCTCATCTCACATGCTTGCAAGAGACAACTGCCTGGACCAGGTCGAACTCTGCATACCTAGTTTGCTCACCGTAAGCAGAGGAACGGAGACAATCAATTCTTCTCTCTTCACAAATCAGATGAATAATTAAGATAATCTCTCTTAATGCACTGTGTTCTTATGAAATGCATAAACTGAATCTTCTTCCATTTTAATCTGGCTTCCCTCAATTTCTGCAACAAAGTGTACGTACTTTACATAAGCATAAAAAAATGTGTTCCCTATTGCTTGGTCTCCTTCCACAGTTCCCTGCTTTCTCTTCCCCTCAGTTCATATTTTATCATAGCCTTCATGAACTCCTCTCCAGGGAGACAGAGGACCTGATTCTGGTAAAGACAGGGCCTGCCAGGCCACCCCCGGTTTCTTCGACAGAGAGACAGTGTCACTGGCATGCCGTCTCTCCCTCTGGCTCTGCCTCCCCCTCGCCCCCGGTCAGCAGCGCACAAATGTTATATACAGCCGCTCCTCCACACCTACTTGTTCTTGTGCCAATAAAGATAAAAGGAACCCAATGACTGAGGGCTGAATATGTGTTTATTTATACAGAAGGCAAGAAGGGACTAGTAAATGCCTGACTAGACCTCTATAGATGTGAGGGAGGAATATTTTAGTAAATATACCTATTTATCCCTGGTATCCCTTTATTCTCTTTAGTAAAAATATGAGATATATCCCTGGCTATATCCCTTTACTCCTAGGAAGCAAAGCCTGCATTTACATTAGTTGCAGTGGTAGCACCATTGAAAATTCAAGACCCGTTCACAATGGAGTTAGAAGTGGTAGCTCTAAGTTTAGTGATTTTTGATGGTTTAAAAAGTATAAAAGTAATCACACATTATTAGGGAAATACTATGCCAAAAACGATGCAGAAACAGATTTACTTCAGAATATGAAGGGCTCCTTTGATAAAGAAAATACTAATGCTAATGTAAGATTAGAATACAAGGTTCCTATTCTGAAACAGAAAACCTATGATAAGAGGCAGCACTAAAAGCAAAGCCAACACAGTAATAACACAGCGTACTGAACTCAAATGTATCATTGTCCTGTTCAGCTCTTCCAAAATTTCAGCTAACATAATAATCTCAACAAATAATTAGCTGGCCTCATTTGCCAGAAAAACAAACTGACTCTCCAGAATATTATTCCAATGTGCAAAATTCAGTTTGAATAACTTTTACTGGGAAGATAGTATTGTGTGTGTCGATCAGTGTAACACCCTGACTCACGAGAACATAGAGAAAACTGCAAACAGAAAAAGGAATCAGGGAAAAAAACAGAAATAAAACCATTCCAGATATGGATGCACAGTGTGTGTCATGCGAACATAGAGGAAACTGCAAACAGAAGGAGGAGTCGGGGAAAAAAACAGCAATAAAACCATTCCAGATATGGATGCACAGTGTGTGGGTTTTGTTGTCAGCCAAATATGTACAGAGCAGTTTTTCCTGTAAATCGGGGAGGAGTCACATCTGACACTAGTCCTATCAGGCAAAACCCTCTCAGCAAAGGCAGGCAGGATTCACTGCTTAACCACAGCAAGGTCAGGTCTATTGCCTACTCAAAATCAATGAGTACACTTTTAGAATAAACAGGTACTTGCACGAAAAGATCAAATAATTGTAATTCGAGAAGGTGTCAGACCAAAACCTCTCACTGCTCCTGCTCCTGCTCACGCCCAAATCCACCACCTTGATCCATTCTGTGAAATGCAGACATCCTTTAATAACAATCCCTTTCTAATTCCTCTCTGAAAGTAATTAACAACATCTTACCTAGGAGCTTTACCCAAGAAAGGCACTTGCAAATACTCCTGCCTTTCCCGGCTCTTCAGTTGTTTTACGATACTCTTAGGCTGCGGAGGAAATGGTTTCATACACACAGATACACAGTTATTAGTTTAACCTTCTGAACTGAAATTTTGCTAGTGAGAAGTCCCTTCCCTCCCATATTTTTAAGAATCATCTAGTTAAATATATAAAGCTATGCAGAGGGTGTTGATACAGTATTAAGACTAAGCACAAAAGATAACAATAGATCAGGAGATCACTTCAAATGGACTTTAAGACTCTGCTATCCAGGGCCAACAGTTGGGAGAGTGTGGATCTGCACTGCCCTGGCTGCTGGACACGCAGGCCCTTGGCTGACACCCTTTGTCTGTGGGATTCAGCTCCTCTCTCTACAGCTGCATACACTGTATTCGCCTGTATTTATTCGTGTTTCGGTGGGTGAGCTTCTCGTTGGACCGTGGACGCTGCACGGCCACACAACACCCAAAGCCTATGCAAAAGAAATGCCAGGAGCTACGGGTGTCCCCGGGCCACGGACCTGTGCTGCTTAGGGACAGGACGCTCTCAGGCCACTGTAAGCCAGCTGTGAAGCTGCATCTTCAGCATGCCGTAGGAGTTAGCTCTGAGGATCTACAGCGTGCCAAGGTGACCACGTAGAAGACAAGTTTGTACTCTGAATACACACTGATAGAAATAAACCCAGTGCCAGGGTAGGGAATGCAGATTTTCAGGTACGCAGAACACCATTCATTTATTACTTCATAATAAAAAAAAATGTACTAGAGAAAATTAGACCATTATTTATTGATGTGAACAGAAAGTCTGAGCTTGATCTTTGGCAGCTGCCCTTCCTCCCATGCAGAAAGCATGGTAGAGGAAAAAGAGTACGAGTGGCGTTTGTCCAGAGGTCGTTAAGCTGAACACCCCCTTCAGACAACTGCTGCTCCAGACTGAACAGGATGCTGAAAAAACACCCCAGAGATGATGTGACTGCAAACGGCTCTTTGAAGCTCAGGCTACAGACGGTGCCAAGTGCTTACTGGGCATAGCTGAGTATCAATCAGCCCGCTATACTTCCTTGCGTATCTCTGTTCATGGCCCTATCTATAAAAGCAGATACTTTATCCAGTGAGCTACCCGGTCTTTCATAACCATCTGCGGGGAAATCTGCAGGTGTTAAATTAGCTGCAGGAGGATGCCCATATGTTTCCTGCATGCAATAGACACATGTTGAGAATTACAACCAAAAAAACCCCAACATTGCAGATTGCACACAGTTAAGGCTAAAGGGCTCAAGCCAAGATCTTTAAGTAAAATGGCACACAGATGAGATGTAATTTGCTGTGATTTGCTGCTTCCGATTAAAACACAGAGAAGAAGAAATGCAGTCTTCGTTTCCTAATGTAGTTTTTCGGGCTTATGTTCTTATGTGGGGAGAAAGTCCTGTGAGATGCTGAGCGGTCTCAAACTGCTGGCAATGGGACTTGGGGATGCTCAGCACTTGCCAGGATGAGGCCTTTGCAGTCATTCATACCACTTTTTTTTGGTGACTGGTCAATTTACTGTTGATTTATATCCTTGTATTGTATATGTCAGAGTCAGCAATTGCCCCGCAGCTACTAATGGGAGTTATTTATTATTACCGTATAGAAAGAGCCAAAAAGAAACAAGTACCTTCCCTGTCTCAGTCTGAAGGATGAAGGCAGTTGGAGAATTTTTTTTAATAGACCTTACTTGTCTCGTTGCTGTAAAGCAGTTGAAAAATGGGTAAAAATGAACAAGGATTGAGTTTCTAGGATAGGCATAAGGAAAAGTCCTTATGTTTTACACACAAATACATGTATGCACGCTTATTTTGTAGGCATAGGCACAGACTAACCATCTCACTAGTTCTCTTCAGAATCCTGAATTGAGGTCTGTACATATGTCTGGGAAAACTGCCATTTTCACATTTTTTACAATCTAACATATATTAATCCAGTTTTTAAGAGCATAAATTAAGATTAAGCAAATCTCTACAGCAGAGGTCTCTTTCAGGGAGTATTCCTTCAAGAGCCCCCCCAATATTACAGCTAGGTGTAGAAAAGACCTGCAAGGCTTGACAAATACCGCAGCTTTTTATATGTGAGCAGGAATTCGTATTTCTCCAAAACCCTTAACAAAGAAACCAAGCTATTACACATGAGCATTTTTCTCTGTGCACAGAAAAAATGTAATTGATCCAGAGGATCCAAGGTGCGCCAGGCTGACTCTCACGGGACAGATGGTCACAGTGCCTCCGGAGGAAGTGGAATTTGCCAAGCAAGCAATGTTTTCCAGGTCTGTATGTAACAGTAGAGTGCAACCCACAGGTTTGAGACAAATATACGGATGTGGCCGTTTGGTACGGAAAATCTGAGAAGTAACAAGCCTCATTTTTACTTTGGGGCCACGAAGCATGTTGGCCCCTGTGTGGCTTGGAACGACAGGCAGAGCCGTGTGACCTCCTTTTAACTCCTGAGGTAGCGAAATACGGAAATGCAATTAGTCAGTGTTGGACTCTGGTAAGGCACGTGCTTTATAATCTGGGGATTACGAAAATATTTCACCTGGCTCCGAGGAGAGATTCCATAAATCCAGGGTGCATTTGTTACCTTTAATGATTCTTCTCCGCCTTAGGACAGGTAGTGCTCTTCAGCCACAGCCACTTGGAGACAGAGCAGAGCTCTGCTGCCTTTGGACTCGCGCCTGTTTGCAGGGTGGAGCTTACAGGTTTTATTACCTCTCCTGACATACCACGACAACTGCTACCAAAGCCGTAGTACTTGCAGAACGGTCTCCCTTGAACAGATGTAAGCACAACCCTGACACATACACACACACCCCATGCCCTCCAGTGGGTCTTCAGAATAACAGGCGTGAAAAGCCCGAACCTTAGCTGGGGCACGCGCCTCCCACACAGGCTGCCAGGGATGGTCCTCCAGGTGTACCCTGCCTGGTCAGTCAAATACTGCTGGGAAACTGGGATGAGCTGGGATCCAAAACAGCCCAGAGGCAGTATTTGCTCTAGCCTGCTGGAAGGGGTTAGGGTGGGACACTGTCAGCGGGTGTCCCATCAATAGCAAAAATGGGACCAGGGATAGACGGGGGCTATACTGGCACACAAGCCTTTTTTACACACTTTGCAGAAATCAGATTCCTACACGAGCCAGAGTCCGCCAGCACCTTGGCAGCAGATGCTCCACTGTCAGGGAGCAACAGCCCGACCAACACGGTGAGGGCTGCCGGGGCTTACCCCATCCAACGCCAGCAGCAGCTGTGGCACTTCCCAGTGCCACAGTCGTGGGTGCTCTAAGGGACAACTCAGAAAATGGTGGAAACCCCAGCTCAACCCAGAGGTTGCCAAACCATCCTCTGCAGGGTCCTCTGCAGGGGCAGAGGGGCACTGGGCCAACCCTGCCCCGACTTGCACCGCTTTCCCCCGCGCTCCCGTGAGCACTGCGGCTCGAGCTGTTGTATCCGCTCCATGCACCGCTGCCGAGCACCCCCCACAGCATCCCCTGCAGGTGCACTTGTGGGGGCTTGGGGACCAGGCGTCTGCACCCAGTATTGCTGGCGAGGAGGGTCTCTTCGAGCTAGCTGTAAGGGCAGGCCCAAGAAATGAGACAGAAATAGAGGACGAGAAGGCTTTAGCAGGTAACAGTTTGAAGGGGCTGTGCTCTGCCTGCTAGTCAGTTTTATTAGCTCTCCTGCCGTACCACAACTGCTACCAAAGATGTAGTACTTTCAGAACACTGTTTCATTTGAACAGATACAAGCACAACCCTGACACACGTTCAGAGAATCTCCTCCAACTGTTTTTCACTTACTTAGAGACCAAACAACATCTGCCTTTAGAGATGGGGTTCTGCAGTGCGGGAAGGTGGTGTTCGCTGGCTGCCTTCGTTGCAGTTCTCATCAGACTGGGGTGTGGAAGATCATAAACCTTACTGCAAGGGAGGGCAAAAAAGATGAATGGTGGTGGTTCTCAGATCTCAGGTTTCACTCTGGCTGAGCACACTAGGCTGAATTAAAAAGCAGACTATGCATATGCTTTGGCACATCTTTTAATTTTTTTTTTCTTTTCTTCGTCCTTCCAGGCACCCGGTAGTAAGAAAGTGGCCTCGCAGCTATGAGTGGTTCTTCATGAAAATGAACATTGAGCATATCTGGCTTCAGAGCTGGTACGGAGAAGTTTCTGCCGTTGCAGTAGAAGAGTATTTAAAAGCAGTTCCAAGTAAAGGATGATTGAATGGGCTTCAAGATAGAGATCTTCTGAGTTTCCTTTCCAAACACTTTTAAAATTTCATGCTGGATGGTTACTTTTTTCTTCCCCAAAGGCTTCAAAATAGCCCTGTCTTACATGGAGCAGAGCGAAAATAAACCAACACAGACTTTCAAATTATAAAGGAGAAGTGGATACTAGCCCTACCCTGCAACGTACAAATGTGTCGTTTCAAACAGGCAATGCATCGCCTTGAATGCTGCTTAAAAATGATTCGTATCTGTTTGTTTTGACTTTTATTGCTGTGCACCCACAGGGAAACTACAGTATGTGCTAAATATAATGTTCTGATTTACAGAAAAAGCAAATTGCCTACTCAGAACCCTCTATGCATTGTGGAGGTATTACTGCTGCTTGGTCTTCCTTGATTTGTAAGTACTCAAAGATAAATTAATAGCTGCAAATTTAGATATTTAAGTTTTTAAAAAATATTTTGCTAAAGCTGTCCTCATTTGCTAACTTATATTTTCTACATGTGCTTCTCCCTAATTATCTAATTTGATATTTCACTTGGAAACTGAGTAGAAATTCTCTCTTTTAGTAGAAAAAATGTGATCAGCTCAAACAACACGGCTCCAGTATAACTTGTCTCCCACTGACACAAAGCTGATTAAACACGTTAAGGGCCCAAACCAAATCAGCCCCACAAGGATTATCCCAATGCAAGTATAAACATTCTCATAGGAAGAATTTAAGTAAATGTTCTCAGCTAGCCTGTTCCTGTAATGAGACAAGAAAAGTATTTTTAATAGCCTGTAGTCCCAATTTTTTTGCATCCCTTCTCCAGCCACTGTTTTATTTTTAATTCATTTGTGCAACAGATTTTTGTAAACCATCACTAACTCGCCTAGGGGTGGAGCCAGTCCCTTAACTCTGTTTCCTCACCAAGTTTTAAAGGGCTTGTTCATGAATTTATTTTTTGAAGAAGCCTAAAGATAGGTAGATATTTCAGGCCATGTAAAACTCATTTTCCTAGTGTGGAAAGTGCAAACTTTGTTGCAAACACATTATGAATAGGCATCTCGTGATAATACCAAAAGAGTTCAAAGGTATTTTATTCACCTTCAGCCCTTTCTTTAGATGTCCTCCTAAACTTATTCTGCAGTTCCTAAGGATACCACAGAAAGAAAGGTCCCATGGCTAACCAGCCAAGTCATTACGCAGTTTGCAAATTACACGGCTGTTCTCCCTGTTACATTAAGAAAGCGACACGTTGAGATGGGGTTTCTGTGCCTGTGGGGAAGGTCTTCCAGCGTCCCTGGGAGGGCACCCGAGCTCTGAACGCCAGCCTGCACCGTGGGCTGGGACTTTTAAAACTGAGTTCAACAGGCAGAGCACTAGACCCTGCAAGGGAATCTCCACAGGGCTAACATTTCTGTGCAACTTTAGTTACATGTTTCATTATCCCACTTCACTACGATTCCCAGAGACACCTGAACTGCCACTTATCTCCCCCGCCCCTAAACACACACACAAACACAGATTAAGCAGATCCAGCGTACAAGCTTAATGTTTAAACAAGCTGAAGAAGACAGGAAGATTTTAGAAATGCTGCTGTTACTATACTCTCAATATCACTTACATCCTTAGACAGCCTGGTAACGGTGACATGGTCCTCTGTCCTATCTGTTAACTTATTAACACTCTTGCCTTAAAGCAGCAAGGGATTGTATCAACAATGTTTAGGAGAGCTTCAACTGTCTAAGAAGTTAGCGCGCACTATGACAGGTTTTGAATTTACAATACCCTACTTGCTATAGGCTGCCTCCTGCACACCTAGATTAATTGGAGAAGCTTCTGTATTGTACATTGACACATTAATCAAGCAGCTTTTCTATATGGACCTGCCGTGAGGCTCTTGGCCGAACCTGAAAACATGAAACGGCAATGGCATGTAAAGTGACAAAAGGGGCTTCATGTAGAAATGCCGTCTTAAATCACCCGTTCTCATTTCATGCTTCCTTCTCTCAAGGAATAGCTACCATAAAAGTCATTGAAAGTCTGTGGAAATTCATCAGAAATATGACCTGCAGGTTTTGAATGGAATTTTCTGGAGCAAAAAAAGGGGAGGAGATGGTAGTTTGCTTAACTGGGCTTTATGTTATTAATTATATAGTAGTTCCAGTTTTTGTTTAAACTGCCAAATGTCGCAAGTGACATTGGTCATCACATGGCAAGTGATGTTTGTTAAAGCTTTTAACCCAAAGAGTGTAACTGAGATATCATAATAAAATCATAGTTCCTTGAGACCGTAAAGGGTCTGACCTTGCTTCAGTTCAAGTCAATAGCAAAAATCCTATTTATTTGTTGTGCTTTAACTATTAGATCAAATAAGCATTTTTATAAAAGGTCTTGATGAGCCCTTATGAATTTGTTAAGCATTTCAACTAGCTGATGTGTAATTTATTTCCATGTGTTCGGTATTTTAGTTATTTCTGTAGCTTCCCCCAAAAAGCTTGTTGTGCAATGTGTATTATTTAAAACTTTAACTGTGGTTTTGCAATATTTAAGAGATGCATTTAGTCATGTCTGTATACTTGCTGAAAAAAGGAAGACAAAGTTCTAAACTTGGGTTCTCACTTTTTGCTAATTTGTGCAAATGTAATGCATGTACAGGATTTAAGCACAGCTAGTTTGAACTGCTGTTCTTATTTAACCAAAGAATGCTCCATTTCTGATGAAATTTTCATCACTTTGGTGGATGAAATGCAACCTGTCTCATTTCTGGATGTGTATTGCAATCTGCAATGTATAAAGATACTGAATGTTGTTAACAAAATGCCTACCGAGAAGAAATGCAAATAAAACAAATTTCGAACTGGAAGCTGCAGTTAGGATATTCTTGAGTCTGCAGTACAGCATTAGCCAGAGTAACTGACCTTTTGCTGACAGCCATTAGAATTTCTATCTGATCTGAACATCTGCTTTTTTTTTTCAGTTTTCCTGAACCAAGCTAATTTCTCTCAAAATACTTCTGGGAATTGAGACTCAGATCTGCGTCTGTACAGCCTCGCTTTTCCCTGGGGAGAAAAGTCTCAGCAAGCACCTTCCATCTTTCCTTTGTCTTCTCATTACTGTCAGCTTTGCTTTCACCGTGGCAGTTAAACGTCAACGTTTGCTCTTCTTTTATGCACGTGGGGACTGAGCACTCACCTCTCAGGTGTGCATTAATGGTGTTTTGGAAGTCTCCTCAGTGCTGTTTTTTCTCTTGCTAGCCTTGCTCTTACAAGTTCTTGTTACAGCTTGTTCTCCGCTGTCTACTTTCCCCTGGCACGTTTTCTTAAGCCAAGGCTGGCAGTTTACCTTTTCATCTTGCTTTCCCGCACCATCTCCTTTCAACAAAATTCAAGCTCTCCCACTAGAATTCCCACTTCATATCTGATAAAGGTTATAGGAAACAGCCTGTGTTTCCTATTTACGCCTTACAGTCTTCTTGGACTGCATTCGCTGTGAGGACCGTGACAACAGTTTCCTAACCCGTACAAATCACAGTCAACATCAGTTTCCTATTTCCAGTGACTCTATATTCTTAAAAGAACATTTCCTGCAGCTGTTCTTTTCCTTTGTGCCGACTCTTTTCACTTTTATCCCATTTCTGGAGTGATGTCTATTCTGATTACAGTAAGAGTCTTTCACTATTTTTACCCCAAAAATTCTCATTTGAACAACATTTCTGGACTCAATAAAGTACTGTCACTTTTTTTGATCTGCTTTTTGCCAAACACTGAATTCGTGCTCCTTCCGAATTGCCTGTCACTTGCCGCCCTCCAACACGGCTCATGCTTTAGCTGCCTCTACTCTGCCACCACCTCCACACCCCCTCTCCCATCTAACGTTCTCCTGCTCCTCTGTTGCCTTCTCCTCTTTTCCCCAATTTTTTCTTCATTAACTCTAGTTCCTCTGTGTTCTTCCCTCAAATTCCAATTCCTTCTCCACAGCCCCTTCGACATTACTTTGTCTGCTCAGTCTTGGCTGTCTTCTTGATTTTGCTACTTTAATCTTGTTCTCACAATGCTCGGTGCCTTTGGAGAGAGTCCTAACACTGCCAAGTATTTTGGGAGAATGCTAAAGTGTTACTTTAAAGAATACTTTGGGGTTAAGATTTATTTATTTATTTCTTTTCTTTATTTAAACACCAACTCCGGAACAGAAATGGGAACATATTGGCCTTGGTGCCAACACAGAGTAGGGCAGTTCACCGAGCTCACGGCGTTTGTCTGATGAGACCTTCTGCACAAACTATTCCAGGCTCTATTAGACCCCGTCTGCGTCAGCAGCCACAACATATAATCACGAAGGAATCAGGGATCAGTCAGGAAGAAAAGGGCATTGCCGAAGTTTGACAGCGCTGTCTGACGACATAGGTTACCAATGTATGACCACACAACTGTTGACTTCCGAAGGAAAAACGGGTGTATGAGACCATTCAAAAAAGACTGGTAGCTGGTGAAAATGAGCGATCTATTTCAGAAGCTGGAAAAAGGTACCGATGTCTTATATGAAAAAATAGGTAAGGCTTTAAACATGTCTATTTACGAAGAGGTATATATCAAATATTTCTATTTAATGGAAAACAAATCCATGAAACGATTGTGTTTATTCAGTACCTCTCTCTCTTGTTTCAGTACATTTTTCTCTAGGGTTTTTTTTCACGTGGTACTGACCCTCTTACCGTTTTTCATCCTTCCGAAATGAGCTCCCCTCAGTGTAACGGCACAGGCGCCCTCCGCATCTGGACTTTGAGCGGCTTTGTTCCCTTTCCCCGGCGTGGCCGCACATGGCTCTCTTCCCGGCTGGCTGCTGACCACCCCTTGGCCCCGTCCGCTCTTGCCTCCCGCGCTCCAGCCGCCTCCCACCCGGGAGGACGCACCTCACGCTGGCGTGAGGGCGAGGTGTGCCCCGGGAGGGTGGAGTAGCGACCAACATACACTCACGCGTGTGTCGCTGGCCAAGCCCATGGACTGGACCCAAAACCGCCACCCATCGCCAGGGTTGAAGGCCAAGCATCGCCCAAGGGCTCCCTTCGTAGGGGGA